GTGTGTGTGTGTGTGTGTGTGTGTGTGTTTTTAAAGTATCTGCATCCAGCACCTCTATCTCTGTCATACCTCCCCTCTTTCCTGCTCTCTAAATCCTCTCTGTCTCTATTCCACTCTGTTGCAGTGTCCCTGTGTCATATCTGCACTTACCAAGCAAGACGTATATGCAAAGACTATTTGACATGAGCATGTGTCTTTTCTTCATACAAATCACTCTTTGTCTTGCAGCTTCATTCAGTCTCTGCCTGGCTTCTCTCAAACTGGAGAGTCCAAAGGAGAGACGTGTTTGACTTTAACTCCCGGAGAAGCTTGAATGCGACTGATCTGATATACCCCGTCCTTTTAATCTATGTTCTTCTTCGTGAAAACTTTCAAAACACTGATTATTTGACAGTACCCTTAAAAGGAAAGGCAGCCCCTTGTAATTCAGTACCCCACATGCAAAAATTAGTTTTGTAATATGCTAAATTTTAATCTAGCATACCTCACTTTCTTTCATTGTGAACGAGTATGTGTCTACGCACGTCTGCTTTTACATGTTCTTTTGCTAATTCTGCATTAGATTTAATACAAGTCTTGTTATTCAGGTAGACAAGTAAGAACTTAATTGCATGCAGATACTCGGGTGCAGAGTTTATTGCCTGTGCATCAAGCAAAACAAATACATGTGCTAACACATTTTTCTTTAAAACTGCCGATACAAAACATTTTGTTTGCTTTTTGTGTGTCTGTGCGGGTTTTGTGAGTGCAACCATTTGCAGGAAGAATGGTAATGTGTACCCTTAATCTGTTTTGGTGGGACATGGACAGATGTAATGCCAAGCTCCAAGCACATAAGCTTTATCTAACAATCCTGAAAAATACGCATAATTTTCTATTCTTTGAAGACTGGTGTGATTTGAAAGATAGATTTTGAAAACTGTTGCAATAAAACTCATAAATACATAAATGGACAAATCCATAAGAGCTTCTACTGAGCCTGAGTCAATGCTTTTATTTCTATTAGGAGCACATTTTGTAGAAAGCGCCGATACCAGATAATAACTGCACTGGCATTTAAGTAATGATACAGCCAGAACAGACGACACATCAGACAATCAACTCCAACCCCTTTTTTTTGTTTTTGGCAATGTGTACTCATGACAAATGGTTATTAAAAGTAATCAGTGGGTTTTATTGTTTTGTTTTGCATCCCATGATCCTGAGCCAAGAGCATAGTGTGCTCGTAGTCCCAAAAGGCAACCAGTAGCATAAGATATTCTTTGCAGGCGTGGTTAAAGGGAAACTCCTCTGATTTCACAAATCGAAGTGTGTTTACAGGCCTCCAGGTGTTACACACCAGTAGTTTTACACATAAAGTCCAAATAGGCTGTACACAACCTTTTGTGCATTCAAGAAAAGCCAATCGTGTGTAGCTGGAAGAAAAAGCCTGATCATTATTTTTGAAACTAGCAGCTCGAAGCTACAATAAATAGCTTTTGCACTTAAATGTTGAAGAAGAAGAACGTATGGATTAAAAGTGGTATCTCTTCATCTGTGGTATTGATTGTGAGCATTTTTTTCACTGTCCAATTAAACTGGAGGAGCACTACTAATATTCTTTATGAATTAGTAGTGAGACAGCTTATGGTAAAGTGGTGCATGTACACATGTACACAGATTTTAATTCAAGTATCTGTGCAGCTGTTTTTTGCGTTTTGTTTTTATTGCCCTTGTATAGTCGGGATACAGTTATATGTGGGGCTTAAATGTGAATCATAGGAGTGTACAGACCAATAATGAGCACTAAGAGATAAAGAGTGATAAAGAAAAGCCCACAGAATAGCGATGAACTACAGATGAAAAGCTTTTAGCACATATTGGTCCCTTTTGTTTGTTGCGATGCATGTATTGTGCAAGTCCCCGATAAATAAACAACAAATAGTGATTAAAAATTATTTATCCATAGTCAAAATTACAAGTCCTCACATCACGAGCCCTTTGTATACACCTATCAGCACGTTGTTCTGCTCTCCTGAAACTGCCAAAATTGCTATGAGCTTTTGAGAGCAAATGATAAAAAATGGAGGACATCAAAATTAAATGACAAATCCATTATTGAGCAGGTTGCTTGTAAAAAGATGAGAGAGTGGAGATGAAAGCGAATGGCTGATAGAAGCGTGAGAAGAGCCCCGGGAGGTGGGAACTGCTCCCGTGTCGTTAGCGTCTCAGCTCAGACACTGACTTACACTTTGCACCCACAACAATTGTTTCACAAATCTTGCATACATTTCAATAATATGGTGTTTGGATGCTTATAGCTTTCACTGTCGTCGTAACTGCTCTAAACAGAGGCAGATAATTAAATTTATTGCTTGGTAGTAATTTGGCCGACAGACATCAGCTGTACACGATCTTCTGTTAAGTCAAGAGACTGAAGCCTGTAGCGGTTTGAATAGGAAAACTCTGCAATCGTGATGAAGGGGTATAAATTCATCTAAATATATACAGTTTTTATTATCACGCAGAACAGAAGTTCTTGTGTAGAACACCTTTAAGGCAGACGCAGCAGTGCTTTCATCTTTTTTAAAGTTTACTTTATGTGGCAAAGTTATAATGGCATCGTCTGGGTTTAGACCGGTAATCTGTGAGAATTGCTTTCACGTCAGTTTGGCAGTGGATGTGAAATCTTCTGGGACAATGAAGGCATGATTGTACGACCAAAACAGGAGAAGAATAGTGCTTTTGTTTTCCCCGGCAGCTATTTGTAATTTTCCCTAGGTAGCTGAAATGGTGGAAGGTGGATAAAATTGTGGTAACTCTGCTCATCAGAAGACAAAGAGCTGAGAGATATAAGAGAAGGGGAAGAGGGTGGGTGACGGAAATGGAAAGCAAAGCCTTGGACAGGCAATCACTTGATGGATTCACTCTGGGATTTAAGAGGGCTCAACAGCAGTAGTCCAACCTGTTGAATATGTTGTGCTCAATAGGACTTGGAACTAGTGATTGAGCCCACAAACCTGTCAGGAAAGTGTTTCCCGAGGTCAAGTGAGCTCAGGACCATTTTACTAGAGATTTCGACACAAAATTCAGGATTCATCCTGCTGGCCAATAGAAAGATTGCAGGTTCAGGGTACTTTTGCACTGAATGTGTGGTTATCCGTTTCATAAAATACTGGGTGGCCTTTTCTGGAGTACAGTAATTTAGGAGACAGGATTCGACATTCAGCTGATGTTACTTTCACTGGATCACTAAAAGTAACATCAGTGGCCGACTTAGAGGTCAGTTTTGGCGATGTTGGAGAAAAGGTTATCCAGTGACATCTCAATTCAAAGAACTTCCATCAAATCAATTTCTGCTGTGACCACCTCTGCTTTTTCAAAGCGCTCCATCACTCCATGGCGCTGAGATCTGCCACAGGCCTCAGTCAGAACTCTCTGAGTCTATGTTTGAGGTTTTTGCCATGATGTAGATTAAAGCAATGAAAAAAAAAAATCAGACATCTCCCTGATGGTGTTGCAAGCTTGACTAAAACTGCACATTGCCTCATTCCAGTAATTGTTGTCAATATACAGTGTATCCAAAGGAGTCATCATAACACAGTGTCTGCAAGGGAGAGTTGCAAAAATAAATCAACTATGTGGCTAGCCTTAGCTATTATAACTTAAAGGTTACTCCAGAATACTTTGTTCTGGTGAAAATAAAAATGTGAAATACCAGCTAGAGGGCTTCCTACAACAAATCAGTGTAGTTGTTGTCTCTGCTAGAATAATAAATAACTGAACCCATTAAAAAAGCCCAGAATTCTGTAACTCTGAAGTTTAGTGTCTAAAGGTCAGACTTATCAAAGTAATTCTGTACATTTAAAACATAAATATAATGACTTTTGCTGGCTATTTTTATGCACACTGAAAGTAATTTTTCTGCGTTTTTTTCATCTATTTGTTGTGGGGGGTTGTTTTTGCATGTCTGCAGTATTTTATGATTGTTAATATTGTTTGCATGGCGTACGACTGGCTACTTATTTTTACTGGTTCATTTATCACAGTGGGCAGTCACACTGTGTCAGTCAGGCAAAGCTAGTGATTAATGAAGCAATTTAAAGCTTGAGTTTGAGAGCTGATGTAGTCGTCCTCCATCAGTTGTAACAATGTTACAGACAGCAGGAAAATATTTTAGCTATGCCTTGTCACCAAGGTTGTTATAAATAGTTACATAAGGAGATATGAAAAACATTTTACCTGAAATAAAATGTAAAAACACAAAGGAAATTTCCTCGCTCTCAGCTGCTGTCACATTTAACAACACTACCTGCCTGAAGAGGTTTTGTTTATTTACACTCAGGTTGTGTTTGTTTTGCAACATCTGTACCAAACTCCTCAGCCTTTGCCTTTGGCACATATCCTCCACGTTATAATAATTCAAGAGATTAAACCTCTAAAACGAATGAAAGCTAAAAACACACATATAAACACACATCCACTCTGGAAAGTAATTACATCTAAAGTGAATTAAAAAACAAAAAGTGAAAAGAAATAATAATTCTTATAATAGTCATTTGAGCTTATCTCTTAGGCCTACAGCTTAGGTCATACTTTGCCTGGTTTACAAAAAAGTTAGAAAAAAAAGTTAAAACCAGATTTCTAGAAGCTGATATTTCTAAGGACAGCACATAATTTTTCACACTGTAGGGTGCCTGCAGTTTTGGTCAGCTAATTACCGGCATGATGCTCTAAATGTTTGATGTGTTAGTGTGACGATTTTGCACCATGAATACCGAGCAGTAAGTCTCTTTGGTGTGTGTGTGTGTGTGTGTGTCTGTGTGTGTGTGTGCGCATTACATCCACTTAGTCTTTCCCTTTATAATCTTAAATACAGAACACTGATATGAACATAAAAGAACCTTGGGGTCTTTTTAACTGTTACATAATGAATAACATTTGTGGGACGCTATGCTCTGACGGGCTCTGAATGTGAAGTACCAGCGTGAAATATTTATGTACATGCTACGTGATTTCATCATTCCTGCATATTTACCCATTCTCCTGCCAGCTGAGATACGAATACAACAGAGCACAATCTTCTCCCTGCTTCGTCTCTTAGTTTTTAATCATCATTCTGTCCGTGTCTAACGGTAGAGTCAAGGCTAAATCTCACACCGAACAACAGACATTATCATCTCAGACTTTTTACCCGTTCTTGTCCATCTTCTTTTCTTTATCTCCTCTCTATTCTGCTTCTAAAGCTCTGCCTGATTCTACCATGACCTTGCTATCGCACATGAGCGAAACTGTGCTATATTTAAAGTCTCACGTGCAGCATTAACAGACTGTACGAAACAGTTTTTATGCTCCCTTTTCTCTGAATCCCTTTCTCTCTCTTTTGTTCTGTTTCTGACAAACAGAGATCCGCCGCACCCCGAGCTATGAGTCCTCCGCTTGTGGTCAGGATGTGAGACTGATGATGTGAAAGCAAAGGCCGTCATCAAGCTACAGCCGCTGTGCAGTCCCACTTCTACCACTGCAATCAAAGACGCACAATAACACTCTGGTTACAGTAGGGCCTCTGCAAGCTCAGCAAATGGGAAGAAACACATTTCAGCTTTTTAATTCTGTGTGAAACCACCGTTGATGTCTGTCAACATTATAGTCCCTCTTTAATTGGGTGCCACTTTGTGAATGATGACACTAAACCATCTGTCTGATATATACACATAGCTTGCATGCCTGTTCACACTACAGATTTACAAAAATTGCCGTCCAAATGATTAAACGCACATCTCCATAACAAACTCCTCTCCAGCTCGTCTAAATCACCTGTAAGGATTATGAGGCCGGCTTTAGTGCTTCTACAGTCACATTGTCTCTTGTGTGTGTTCGGTGGTATGTGTGTGCCCATTGTTATGGGCTCCCAACCTCCCGCACTACCATGGCATGTCTCGTGTCCCGCGAGGTGTGTGTGTCAGATCAAGCCATGGTTCTCCCTCGATTCCGTTTACCACGAAGCCCCCACTGTGGACTGCAATGATCTGCTGCTGACTAAGCTCCCATCACCAATACCCCTGGACACGCACACCTTGCACCTGCAGAGCAATCTCCTGTCAGTTCTGGACACTGCCGTGCTCCATGGACTCCCCAACCTCACCGACCTCGACCTCTCTCAGAACCGCTTCAGTCATGTCAGGACTATAACCTACCGTTTCTCCCTTCCCTCCCTTCTGTCTCTACACCTGGAGGAAAACCATCTCACTCACCTTCCCGAGGCTTCTTTTGCATCACTGCCAGCTTTGCAGGAGCTTTTTCTCAGTCACAACTACTTACATTCAATAGCACCTGGGGCCTTCATTGGTCTGGACTCGCTATTCCGTCTTCATATCAACAACAACAGACTCACCACTGTTAACCCTCAATGGTTCAAGGCTTTGCCTCGCTTGGAGGTTCTCATGCTTGGAGGTAATCCTGTGGAGTCGCTTCCTGAGCGTGGCTTTATTGCCCTGAAATCCCTCCGGAGTCTTGTCCTTGGCGGTATGGGTCTAAAAGGTTTGGCTGAAAAAGCACTAGAAGGCCTGGACAGCCTAGAGAGCCTCTCCTTCTATGATAATCTTCTGAGTAAAGTTCCAACTCAGGCCCTAAGGAGAGTACCAGGATTGAAGTTTCTTGACCTCAACAAGAACCGCATCAAACTGATTGGGACAGGAGACTTCCAAGACATGGTTCACCTGAAGGAGCTCGGTTTAAACAACATGGAGGAGCTGGTTTCCATTGATAGGGCCGCCCTGCAGAACCTTCCAGAGCTCACCAAACTTGAGATCACAAACAACCCACGTCTGTCCTACATTCATCCACAGGCTTTCCTCAAGCTGAGCAGGCTTGAGAGTCTAATGCTCAACTCCAACTCACTGAGTGCTCTGCACCAGCACATCATGCTCTCCCTGCCAAATCTTCAAGAGGTTAGCTTACACTCCAACCCTCTGCGATGTGACTGCCTGTTTCACTGGGCAGCCAAGGAGGTTTCTCATCCCCGCATTGAGAAAGACGCCGAAGCAGAAGCACAAACTCCCCGAGTAGTGCGTTTCATTCAGCCCCAGGCGACCTTATGCTCAGAACCTCCAGAACTCAGAGCTCGCAGGGTGAGAGAGGTGTCCTCAGGAGAGATGTCATCCTTGTGTCTTCCCATGATTCCTGCCAGCTCCCTACCTTCCTTCGTAGGGGTCCGTGAAGGCGGCAAACTGGTTTTGCACTGTCGAGCTCTTGCAGATCCACAGCCTGAATTGTACTGGGTGACCCCCTCTGGTCTGAAACTTCATCCGGAACCGATGCATGCATCCAAAGCTTCTTCAGCTCCTCTCCCCTGCAAGAGCCGGAGGACTTCTGAAGAATTCAACCTCACATCGGAAGCCAATACCCCTCGCCAACAGAATGAAGACAATATTCCCTGTCAGCTCGTCAAACACTACCGGGTACTGCCTGAAGGAACTCTGGAGATCAGCAAGATCAGCGCCAGAGAGGCGGGATTGTATACATGTGTGGCTGAGAATGCATTAGGAGCAGATACACGCAGCGTTAATGTAGGTGTCCATAACAGAGAAAAGAGAAGAAACCGGGGGGCAGCTGCTAACCTGAAGAAGTTTCAATTACTGAGAGCAGATGCCAGGTTCGAGGTGAGAGAGATCAGAGAACATTATGCTATCCTGTCTTGGCAGAGTGGACACAACCTCCCCTCAACCCGCCTGTCCTGGCAAGCTATGTTCTCCAAGGCCCACTCGCCCACATACACCACACGCATCCTTGCTGGTACACAGAGCTTCAACCTGACTCACCTGCAGGCTGGGACATATTACAGAGTCTGTATGCATTTAGGAATCAGTCAGGGCACAAAGCATGCCAGCAAGAGATTAAGAGAGAGCAGAAAGCCTCAGTGCGTTTCATTCAGGACAAAGGATGCCCCTGAACCCCAGCCCAGCCTGCAGCTGAACCCACAGCTGACCTCCACAGCAGTCACACTACTGCTCCTTGCGATCATACTGCTGCTCGCAGGCCAGGGCTGGGACAGTGAGCCTGGTGAGGGGACAGGAAAGGACCATAATACCTCCCATCATGACATAAGGGGTTACAAAGCTCTGATCTTCAATCAAAAGGCAAAAGGAAGTGACGACCCTCAGCCGAAGCAGAGCGACAAACTGCTACTACATCAGAACTGCTGAGATAACTGTACACACTTAAATGCAGTAACACTGACACACACACACACACACACACACACACACACACAAAATGTCAGATACACACTTTGTTATTAAGACGAGGGGAATCATAGATGAAAGCCGTAAAGAGAGAGAGAGAGATTTGTATTTATTTTATATACCGTATAAAGTATATATTGACATTGTTTCTGTGTTAAGATGTGTTGTAAATGTCTAACCCCTAACCAGGGAAATAAAACTGGACAATCAAACTCCTGCTGTACAGTGAGTGAGCACAGGAGAAACAAATGAGCCAGAGCTGCCGATGACCACTGGACCGAAAATAAACAGAGACTGATTCAAGCCAGAGACTTATATTTACCAACGGGAGCAGCTCAGACCTCCAGGGGTTTGTCATGTTTGCCGTCTATGTGTTCCACAGACTGAACTATGAGTTTCTCAAAGCAGATGAAAGTCTGCCTTAAGACTGACATTGAACAAAATGGGGGTTTTTTTGGACTCTGTAAGTCAAAGTGATTGATGTAACAACCTTTCTGCTTAGCTTTCCAAATCTTGGACTGGGTTGTCCATCTTGCAGTACGCTACATGTACAGCATACTCATCCGGATTCCTCACCTAACATCCTACATTCTGCTTCAAAATAAAAGTGATCTGAAAGTGATTGTGTTAAATTCTATTTTGAGCTACACACAATAAAATCTCTTTTCCATTTACTCGTTTTTACTGTTTCTTTCCATTTTCCTGACCTCAAAACAATTTCAAAAATACTGAAAATACACTATTTGATTAGGGTTCAAGGAAATACAGAAAAGTTCCTGCATCAAAATCGTCTTACTGATTCATCTACAGCTACAGCCCCTTTCTCATCTGCATTCAATTATCATTTCTCCACGGTAGAAATAGGTATAATAGCTCAGGATAAATGGAACCTACCAAATTAACACAAGATGCAGTGTGTCCCCTGCTGGATAACAAGTGGAACTGAGCTAGGGTTTGCAGTGTCAGTCCCAAAAAGGCTGTCTCATTGTAAAAGTCACAATCCTACATTTACATGTCTGTCCCTAGACTCAGGTTCTCTTAGTATTTTAAGTACCCCCTGCTCCAGTGACTTCAGTGTAAGAGACTGTTGTCAGCAGCGTGAGTCAGATCAAGTATTTATCTTGCAAATTTACAGTTACTTCAGTGTGATAAAGTATGAGAAGTCTGCTGATTTTGATTGGATCTTGCAATGAACATAGACAGAGTATGTGGTCACTAATTTTTATTTTACAGCAGAGTCCCTGCAGGAATATCTTTGAAGCCAAAGCATCCAATAACTCCACCAATAAATTTTCACTGCACATAATCGCATAACCTCACCAAGAGACAAACATTGCCAATGAGTTGATGCAAGGCGAGGTGGAAGAGAGAGACTGAGCAGTCCACCTGGGGCAACTTTTACAACTTCTAATGACAATGACACCTTTAACTTGCTTCCCCCCCCGAGGATGCTGTGTCAAACAATTTGCAGCGACATGTCCTGTTTTATGGTAGTAATAACATTGCTTTTCTGACTTGGCGGAGCACCTTTAGGTTTCTATAGGTTGGAGTATCTACTGATCATAACTGCTTGTTGTTTCTTAGCTTACTTTGACTGGATGTTGCAGTGAACAAAGAGTTCAAACAAGAAAATCTTTAAAGCTAAAACAAAAACAAAAACAATAAATCAACCAATATCATTTACCATGGATGTTACAGCCAGTCTTGCATTTTGAGAGATATTAATATGTGAATCTTAGACTACTTTTTATTATATGCTCTAATAAACTGCGCAATATTTAAATTTAGTCATATTTTATAAACACAAACCCCAGTTTCTCACCTAAAATAAAAAAACACTTTCATCAGTAGTTAGTTTGCATTTATTCACACAAAACATAATACATTTCTTCAATAAGGCAACACAATACTGTATATACATACAATGACTCATATGTATACCATGTTTTAAATTTATGTTACTTTGTCATTCTTTACTGTCACTACCAAGTGTAAATAAATAGTTTAGCAAGTCATGTAAAAGAGAGCCAGATGCAAAAACCTCAAAGTCAAACTGTACATCCAACGCAATGCTCCTTTACTTCCTGTAATATGTTGTCGTTGCCAACCTGTTTGAGCTGATTTCTGAACACAGCTTAATGGTCCATTTACTTTCTGAAATAAAAAAAAGTGTACGGAAGCCCAGAGAGCTCAAAATACTGCAACTTACTTTGGAGCAACTTTAGAAAATATTCATCAAATATTCAAATCTGACAACAGATTTAGCAAAAAATAATAAAAATGATAGCAATTATTCATGCATTAGGATACACAGAAGTCGCTGCAAATACAATGAAAATCTTTTTAGGGATCATTAAATATTGATGAGCATACCGTAGCTTGTCGCTTTTGAAGGTGAAAGATGATGTTAGTGTCTTTTAAGTTGTGTCACAGTTTCATATTCTGTTTATATCCAGGTTTCTGCATTTATTCTGACGGCATTTCAGCATGTGGTTGTTTTCTCACGTTGATAAATGCTGAAAAATCTTTTAGTAGTTTGCCTGCGTTCTTGTGTTTTCATTAGTTGCCTCGAATTGAACTCTTTGGCTCAACGTAACACTAACCAGCGAAATTGACCCGTTAATCCTTCAGCATCAGTCAAAAAACAACAAACAAAAAACAACAAGAAAAAATTTCAAATGTAAACCTCTTCACAAGCTGACATCATAAGAAGTTGCTGGAGTTGGTGTCCTAAATTATGTGAGGTGTTTTCAGTGTGACGTGAGCATGCTGAATGTACCCCCACCCACTGACGTGAAGTGAAAATGCCACTGTTAGTTCCCATTCTCTTCAAGACTGACAAAATCGTACGATCAGTTACAAAAATATAATTCTACTCTGCATTAACAAATGACACAAGTAATTAGTTCTGGTTCAGAAGACAAAGTTTTGAACCAGAAACTATGTGGAAATTAGAAAATGACATCAAGCAACAATACTGTAATTATTACCACTGTGTACAAAGCACACACAATGCTCCATACTTCACTATGATATATGAGCAGAACTAGATGCTGCTCTGTTTTAGTCTCCTTCTGTGCATTTGATTGTGTTTTATGTCCTCTCGTTTTTCCTGCTTGCCTTTGCACTGCTTGATAAAAAATTTGGAAATCAAAGCTCCAAATGCTGATTAATTCATGACTTATATGTTCACACTTTTTTAACACTCTGTAGGATGAACTTTCCAAATAAAGTTCTTAATAACTGTATGTATTTACTGCATTAACAGTAAATCAATAAACTATTTATAACAAATTATAATGGAGCTGTAGCTGATTTAAGTGTTAACTAAAGTCTTTGTCACCAACTAGGACACTGAAAACATTTTAGCAACACAGTATAACATAAGTGTTAGCCTAGATAATCTGATAGTTTCAATATAATACACACTAAATGTAAACAGTAATTGGAGGATTTATAATCCACTTTGTACAATACTGTTTGAAAGTCTTAGAGCACTCGTTTTTTTATATTGCAATATGGGAAAGAAGTGATTTAAAACCTGTGCAAACATACATGGAAATTCATCATGTAAAGCAAAAACAGGGTTTGTACAATTCTAACAAGCTTTAAAGTCAATATTTGGTATGATCACCTTTATTCTTTTACACTGTATGAAATCTCTTAGAAATTCTTACTGGTAATTTCTTTAAGTGAGCTTCTGTAATAGTTCTCCAGGCTTCATGAAGGTAATTCAAAGTTCTGGTTGGATGTTGGCTGGTTTTTGTTTCATTATCTTTCACAATGATCCCACAGGGCTTTAATAATGTTGAGGTCCAGACTCTGGGTAGGCCAATCCATGACTGAGTGTTTCACAGGGTTTTTTTTTCCATTAAAGTTTTTTCCATCAAAGCTTTTACTGCATTGGCAGTGTGTTTGGGATCAATGTAATAATGAAAAATGAGTCAAATCAGGTATTTTCCAGATGGTACTGCATGGTGGATCAAAATCTGACGGTACTTTTCTCCACTCGTGCTTCAGAAATAAGATCCCAACACTTCACCCATACTCACTGTTGTGTCTTTGTTCTGACCTCAACCATATATAGTGACAAATATTTGAACCACCACTGGCCGTTAAGTTGCTATTGAGGCTTCAGTGAACAGTAGATGGATCAATAGAGGTGTGCGGTCTTTACAGGACTTATTTTTGTTTAATCTTTATTTCTTACGGGCATGAGTTTCACATATTGTTGATCTGCTGTAGACAGTTTTGGGGTTTTTTTGGCCTGCCCCTGCTGTTATCCAGTGTCCTTTTAAGAATGCACACTGTACCATGCTGAAATATGCCAATTTTGGGGGCGAATAGCTTTTTGAGAATAAACATGTTTTTGATTTTTTTTGTTAAGCTGTCTGTTATATGTAGACACAATACTGGTTTATCCCTTGAGTTAGGACTTATTTATGTTTATGAGTAAATTATTCAAAAGTTGGTGTTAAGTGGCTTCACAAACAACAAGAAAACATTCCTTTGAAAATGTTCACATGCAAGAACTGGACTGAAAATTAACAAAAAGACAAAGATAGAAAGGATGGAGAACTATTGCTCAAGACCACTTTAAAAATGACTCGCAAGTCTGGGTCCATATAAAGAAGTGAGGGATGGCTCAAGACCTTTGCACAGTATTGTAACTATTAACATATGTGGACATGAAATAGTATTAGAAGTGTGTTATATTGTGTCTATAAATAATTATTTGCTTATACAACACTTATGAACTCTTCATATGAGCAGATATATAAGCATATCTTAGTGTGTTGTAGTGTTTCATTATCAACATATGAGCGTGTGATAAGGCAATGCAGTGAGTATGATTGAAAAAAAGTTCACATGATTTATGTCTTTTAATTGTGTTTGATGTCAGGGCTTTGACCCCGACTTTAACAAGCAGCGTGACCTTAAATATAGAGATTTTGCCCTCAGTCTCTCCACATAAAAAAAACACACACAGACCTAAAAAATCTGCACACACAGACACACACTTACAGACACCTACATTTGGCAAGAAACACTTAAACAATTTCATTAATCCTTTATATGGTAGAGTACGTTCACACTGTGTAACAGGCCTATGGAAAGAGTGTAGTGGTGTGAAGAAAGAAGCAGCATCAATGCTACTCAGTTAACTGAAGCCACAACAGACATATGACTGTATCATCATGTGTGGAGCTGAAATGGCTGGTTGAATAATTAATCACCTGACACCCTTAAGAAAAAGAAAATGCTTAAATGCAAATATTCCAACTTCCCAAATGTAACCATTCGTCAGTTTTCTGGTCTTTTATAATAACATTTTTTAAATTTAGTTACACCTCACCATCGTTTTTCTATATTATCATTTGGACTCTGGAAAGCTATAATTCCTACTGATAAACGTTTTGTCCCATGTATGACAAACAAAACAAAGTGTAAGGGAACATAGTTACACATTACCTGCTTCTGCTCTATACATCTTACATCTCAAGCTTTCTCACATGTCTAATCCTTTTTAAATTAATCCATTGCATATGAGATATATTAATATTAATAAGACCACGATGAGGAGCACGGTGTGGAAGTGATTACACTGTACTGTACATCTGTACACATGGAGTAGCAGGCAGTATCGGAGTGAACACAGTATTTCAAACTGGCTACTTCGTTCTTAGTTGCCGTGGAAACGGCAAGTGTCTCATGCTTCAAGTTGGACTAAAATGTAAACATTCATTTGTAGATTTTGATCTTTTCATCTTTGTTCATGTCCACCTTTATATGGCAAATAACAAGAAGAGAAAATCTGCAGTCTGCTTGAAACGCTCCGATAGATGAGATTCTCTCATTTCATCTCTTTCAGCTCTTCCAGGAGAACATTTCTCTACCAAACCCTGACTTCTGACCTCTCTATCAGGCGATAAAACACATCTTTCCTATCCAGCGTCACAAACAAGTACAAGCCTCCAAGGTTCTGAAATGTTTAAAGAAAAAAAAAAAAAAAGAAAAAAATCAAAGTAGCCTTTTCCACATATTTGCTAAATTCATCAAAAAATTGAGCATACTCGTCCTTGACAAACACATGCATGCATTGCAAACACACATACACACGCACGCACGCACACATCTCAGCTGTAGTTGTAGGTGAAGTTATATGAGCTAGGCTCCTTTGGCACAGGAGGCGGCGCTTCCGGGATCGTGATGTTCTCAAGGTCGAGGAGGCGGAGCTTCATCTCCATGCTGATGAGAGTATCTAGGTCACTGCGTGTCAGGTCACTGCCCATCTCTCTGCCCAGCAGCGCACACAGCCCATCAGTCCAGATACAATACTGCACATATGCACACACAGAAACATGAAGGTGAAACACAGCCAAGTCTATATATTAGCTGATTTCTGACAGCAGCTTTTAGGCTTTTAGCTGAAAGTTATACAACGAACACCCGGACCAGCCTCTTACGCTACTTTTGAAATATTTTTTTGTTTTACAATAATAAAAAAAACCTGCATTAACACCCATTTTATCACCTTTTAAAGTCAATATAGACAATGTATTAGCAAACAGCTGACAGTTCACATAAGTGGCAAACACCGAACAACTTGGACTTCATTTGGAAGTGTTTCCATCCACCTGGCAAAAGTAAGTGCAATATTAACTCACATTCTGCTTTACACCAATTGCCAAGGGAAATATCTGGCTCTTTAGCTGCTGTGTTCACCAGCTGGTTGCTAACTTTATCTGTCTGCCGTTTAGTGCTGGGAAGGTAACATACAGCAAATCTGTCAGAGCTTATTCAGCTGCCTGCTGTCGCTGGAAATGAGGATGATGAGAGCTGTGAGACTAAGGCAAATCAGTAGATTTGCTGACTGTAAAACAAAGTAAAGAAGTTAATGATGCTAAAGTGTTCCACAAGGATGTGCAATTCAGGGGGAGTTAAAGCTAATTCTTTTCAAGCCCGCCACACAAACAACCAGGTTTTAATAATAGAAATACTAATCAGTGCGGATTTAAGTTTTCACATGTGCCAAACAAAAGGAAGAACAGCTGTCGCGTTATCGTGCACATATGAGCTTACCTCGTATTTGTTGGGTGCAACAAAATTAAGTGTTTCATCGGGATCATAGAGGACAGAGAAGGCCAACTCCAGCACCTCCTGAGGGAATCAGCAGGTCAAACAGAGTTTCTACACCGAGCGGCAGCACAGAATTAAAGGGCAGCAATGAGACTAGAATGGCAATTAAAAAGAAAGAAAATGACACTACCTTGTTCTGTTTTAGAGCACTTTTCTCCTTCATATGAGGGCAGTCCTTCCCTGTCACCACAGACTTAATGTCAGAGACGGGGACTGGGGAAAAACAGAAGAAACAAACACATAATCATATTCACCTATTAAGGTCAGCCTTGTGACGGACGCGGCGTGCTCTGCTGGTGACAGTGTCATTGTCTGTGTTATGAAAGACTTATTATCAGGCAGATGGAACCACTATAGTGTCTTACTCTTGTCACTGAGTAGCTCAAAAGGCACTTCACCCTGAGGTGACTCATCCAAGTCCCCGTAGTGCAGCACTTTGTGATTCAGAGAGAGTCTGCAGAACCAAAACTTTTCTAGATAAAAGAAGAGGACAAGGTGCATTGTTTACTATCAGCGCTCATTCATAAGAGCAAAGCGATTGCTCTGATGCTGTACTGTACCTTGCCTTCGACGGTTGCCCAGTTTACGGAAGCAGCTTCCCTCGCACAGCCGGTTGAGTCGCTGTTGCTTGATGAGCTCTAAGATCTCGGGCTGAATTCTCTCCCGCAACTCACTGCAGCACAAAAACGCAAAGAACACAGTTCGGATAGGATTTAAAACTCCTCAAATGCTAGAGACCACAGCCGAGTACACAAGCATCGTGGGAAAGTCCATGTTGTCGTGGGCCCAGTGGCACCTACTGTGACAAACGTGGGTTTTAGGACGGAGAATTACTTAAGACTGGACAGTCAGAGCAGTGCAGCTATATGGGTCATGGGTCACTCTAAAACAGTGATCCATGCCTTTATCAGAGCTCTGTCTTTGTACATTGGTGAGTGCTCCCTGTCTCGTTTCAAGCTGGCGCAACTGCTGGATTTTAACTGGAACACGGAAGAGTCAGCACATTACTCCTCTTTTATCTTCACTGCTCTGAGTTCATTTTAAAATGAAGCCTGTGCTTCCTTATTGAAGTTCAATAAGGAAGATCTGTAATCACTCATCTGCCTGCTTTCCTGGGTGTTCAGCTGCTAGTCTGTTCTTCACATCACTACCATTTTCCCACACTATCAATCTCAATACAGACACCATTACTGCAGTCCAATCCTCTTCTTGCCGGGTCTTTCAGCCAATCAGCTTCCACTCCGTGCGTGGAGGTGTAGAGGGAACAAGCCTTTTGCAGGTGCAGCTTTCAAATTGTGGAGTTCGTTGCCGCTACACATCGGACCGGCCTCTTCACTGGCCATTTTCAAATTTGCTCCTAAGACGCACCTCCTCTGCTCGGCTTCGAGCCAATTTTTTTCTTCATTTATTAAATATTTTATTATAATGTATTTTTATTCTTATGTTCAGCCCTTCAGACAGTGGTTGCTGTTTTTAAAGTGCTTTATAAACAGAGTTGGCTTGTCCATCAGATAAAGACGAAAGAGATGCCTCTTCTGGGAAACACTATGTGAGTGAGGTTTACCTCCAGCACCCGCCTATTCTTGACCTTCATTTTGATCTCAGCAACAACAATGTAAAGCTTCATGGTCATATCTTTAATCCTATCATGTTGACATGTGTCCTAAAATGTCCAAACATATACAAACAACCCAAAAAACTCAAAACTGCCTTCGCCCTAACTTTGCAGTAACGCCAAGTGCAGCAGGCGTTTCTAGGATCAGACACCACAACAGTCTGACAGACTTGCGAAGCAAAGGGAAAAAAAAAATTACAGCCACATTCTCAAGGCAGGTAATAAGAAAGAAAAGTAGTGTGGACACAAACTGACATGATGGGTGGAGACTGGAAATCATCCTGGCTCATTCGTTCTGACTGCCGCAGACGCAGAATCTCTGAATAGTTGAGGCCTCGCAGCTTAGTCTTCAGCTGGTCTATGGACGATGGTTTCATGGCCAGAGCTCTGGTGATCTGCTCACGGACCACTTGCATCACCTGGTGAGGGTTTAACCAAACATACACAAAGACGAGTAAGAAAAGATGACATACCCTCCCGAATGCTAACATGGGTACAGTACACCGTAGAGTAGTAACGCTGGCTTTTAATGAACCCTCATTCCCCAGGGAAGAAGCTAAAACCGCTGACTGAAATATGTTTAAAAGGTATTAATATTTAAATCACTCTATACACAAAACAGCTTTGTGTATCCCTGTTCATTTCATTAAATGTCTTTCGAGGTAGTAACTGTCATGCATTATTTAATAAACCGAAAACCTTTCAACTGTTTGCTCCAGTGAACTGCTCGGTCACACAATGCAGAACACAGCAGCTACAGTTGTGTGTGTCAGTGTTACGCCTGATATTCCTCACAGTGATACCTGTCAAACACAGTCTGCTCTGGATGGATGGTGTGTATTTGGTAATGATGAGCTCCTACTGTACTCAACATCACTGCCCTTGGTATGACATTTGAGTGCTCGTGTTTACAATCGTACCGTCTTGTTAAATCATCATTTTAGTTAGGTTATGTCAGCGTGGTGACTTTTCCATAATTAGCACTTAATTATTTCAGATTACCACTTGAAAATTAGCTAATGAAGGAAAGTACAGCCGTGGCTCATAGACAGGTCTATGTTTTACAAACATTTTTTGTCGAAATATTGTACAGAGTAAAATTCTTGACCTAATGATGGAGAAAAAAAAAACTGAGTTAAGGAACTGCCAAAATGATTAGCCAACAGAGAGGAATTAATGTGTTCTTCTGAAAAACGAGAAAGTCGTGGGGTTCACCAAAGTCGTGAATATTCACTGTTTGGGTGAATCTGATTACAAAAATCAAAGCACACATTCCTGAACAATTTCTGTTTTTGACACAAACCAAGTAGTTAGCATCCACACCAACCACATGGATGAGAGCAGCATCAGCAGCCGAGTCCTGTGATCGACTGGTGGCGTGTACGAAAATGACCTGCTCTAACACTTTCCCAGCTACCTCTACTGCTACTATCAAATAAAGACAAAACACCAACAGACATTCTGCTTCTTCTTTATTTCCCTCCATTGCTGAGTATTTCTAGCTTGAATGCAGTGCACCAGCACTTTGAAGTGACATTGTTCAAAACACAAACTCACTCAGTAGGGCTGACAACCAACACAATATTAATTATATTATATAACAAGACTGTGGTCAAGCTACTACGTTTTTATTATTGTAGAGAGCAATACAAAAAACACATTAATATTCTTATCTACCAACTTAATGTATTTGAATACGTATGACTGAATTAATCCAGTATTGTAACTTGAAGCTGTGTCGTGTAGAGCAGTGTTGGGTAACAGTGCAGAGTCCAAGGTGCATGATTACAGGTGAGGACGAGAGAGTGTGGAGTCACTCTACTTCAAAGAAAGTTTTACCATGAAAATAATCAGTCTAAAGGTACTGGAAATAGATCATATTCACATGATCAGATCAAATGATCAGGCACGGTGATATCTTAAAGACTTTACAATAACATATTAGCCAAAAGAAAGCACTCTAGTCTTAGAGCTCAGATTTACTTGTGTTTCTTTGAGTTTCTGGCAGTAGAATGGGAAATACAAATAGAATGGGAGGCAGAGCCTTCACCTTCACAGTGGAACCAGCTCCCAGTTTGGGCTCAGGAGTCACACACTCTCTCTACTCCACAACACAGATAAATAAAGTTAAATTTACATAAATATAATTAAACATGTATTTTAAACTAAACTCAGAGAATTCCATTTTCATTTTTCCCAGGAACTTCAAACAATTTGACTATATTTTCTGTGTTTAGTTTAATTACACACAATTAACTATACTAATAGTACTTTTACTTCACAGAGTTTGAAAAGGTAGTATTTTGGGTTTGTAATGGCTGTCATATAAGTGGCTCTACGAAGAGTCTTGCACCATTGCACCATCCATCTATAAACCAATCAATCTATCACATGGTCTAACATGTGGCAGTATGGTTTATACTATTTCAAATGATATAAAAGGTTGTCTAGGGTGGAAATGTTGACATGTAAATGTGTTGTGTATGTTCAACACATTTACACTGACCTTGTTGAAGTCCTCAGCTGTGGCTCTCATCTCCTTCCAAGTTTTATTAAGCAGCTGGATGCAGACACAGAAGAACTCCTCCCATGCCCGGTCATGGGTGAAGAACATGGGATGATAATCGTTGCAGCCTTCATTAGCTACACAAAAGAAAAGATTTCTAAATGAAAAACATGAAGCATGAGGGAGACACACTTCTTCCATATCACACCATTTTGCAATCGAGGAGCAAGTTCAATATCAAATTTAACAAAAATGTAAAAAACATTAAGGGATAGAGTGACACTGAAATACAACAGCAACATATGCAAAGCTGCTTACGCAGTTCTCCAACTTGGAGTATCTCACACAGCATTCGAGTAAGTTCGATGGCACAGCGGCCAAAAGGACACTCGTGTTTATCTTCTCGGCTGCTGTTCTCCAGAACAATCTGTCATGAGTAGGGAAACGTGTTAACGTGTTGTGGAACACTTTGCTGGCTCTGTAAACTCGGCAAAGTCATGCGTGAGACCAGCACTGACCCTGATGTACGTGTCCTGGTGAACTTTGGCTAGATACAGCATGTTGTCCAGAGCCAGCATCCCTGGTGGCGTCTGGGTAAAGTCCATAGCTGGGTTCACGTGGTTCTGCATTTTAAATAGAGATAATGTGAGTGAAGAGACAGAAAGAATTGCACCAAACTGGGCCGATTTCAACCTCCAGATCATTCCAGAAGAAACTGAAATCTCTAGCGGAGACTCACAGTGAAGCCCAGCATCTTGTAGTCCTTGGTGTACATGGCCTTTCTTTTCTCTGTGCCAGTGGGGTCGTTTTCTCCATCGAAGGCAATTCTGCGTAGCTCAAAAATGATGTCTCTCTGAGCCTGTGAGAGAAAAAATAACATGTTTGGAGCATTTTAGCATAAATGAACTTAAATGAAATAAATGAATAAATAACACACAGCTGCAAAGGAATGAAATGAAAAAGGCAAAAAGGCTAAGTCAATCGGCAGAGAGTGAATGGCTGTAAACAAGCAGTGGAAAATATACAGGAAAACTTTAATTTTCTGGTCCACTTGTTACACTTAAAGCAGCTCTGACAGTGCACATGTCACTGGTAGACGGGTGTCTCTAATTACACTTTTTCAGGATCCTGCTATTTCCATTCAGCTGAACATGTTGCTTCTTTAAACATGCTCCAGACGATCAGATTACTTTACATTCAAATCACACAAACCACTGCATAGCAACATGGAAATAATCACAGAATTCACCTGGTCATTAGGATCCATTTTTGTCATCATCCGTTCTTCCAAAAGGTTAAAAGTCAACACCTGCAGCACATATAACTGATGTGCCATTTCTGCTTTGATTGGTCGATTTCCTCTGATGACGTGCTGGAAAGGAGGAGCAGAGGGATATGTAGCTGAGCCTTTATGATGGCTGCAAATTTGTAAACAAGCAGCATATCATATGAAGCAGAACAAACCAAAGCTACTGATGGAATATAACAAAAAAGGACCAAATGAATTGTATTATTTTTCTAATTAGAAGCAAGATAAGCAGTTTTCTTACATACACCATGATTACAATTTGTCTGAAATAACAATAAAAAATAAAACAGCACAAACATTTATCTAGTAGATAACCAGGTCACACTAACAGTGCATGAAAGAGCACAATGGTGGAGCTGCTCTAGGACATTTCCTTATTCCAGGAGGCTTGAGTGCAGCACTTCCTAACTTGCAGCCATTTGCAGCCAGTTCAACCAGGGGCTTTCAGACAAATGCCAAAAGGAATCATTTTCAGAGGAGATTTTGTTCCACTTCATAGACTTGGCCCCATATCACATTTGGTGGTTCTGTGAGTAAAGCTTTCCACTTTCCAAATTGTGACCAGCTCTTTGTTCAAGGGTCTAAACCATCACCAAACGCCAACACTGTAAAGTCTCAAAGGCGGATGAACGCAAGTATTGTGTATCACCAAGGTTTTCGGGAGTTTTATTGGAAGTAGTTCCTGACACTTTCAATGGGAATTGTTTAAAGTACTTGGAAAGCTTAACAGCCATCAAATGAAAGCTCTGCTACGTTTTAGTGTCTGAGTTTCAGACTTGATACTCACATTGAGGATGATGGAGCGCAGGTGTTTCTGAGCCAAAGAGCTTGCCATTTCCTGAGGGTAAAGACAGACATTACTCCACAAAAATCAATTCAGAAAAGATGATTTACTACAAACTAGAATCGCACCCAATGATAATTTTACTGACATCGACCTATGGATAAATGAGAATTTTGAAGAAATAATCTAAAGCTAGATTTTGATCTATGGTTTAAACCATTTGCCTTTCGCACCTTCTGTAAAATATCTCACGGTCGGTGACAAGTCTGTCTGCTGGTGCAGCAAGCTATGGTCTGGCTTAATTTGAGGGTTTATGCAGCGGCTTTCCATGACACAGAAAGGATCAGACAGTGAACGAGAGGTGGAAAAGATGATATGAGCTAAAGAGGGATGTGTACTCACGGTGAGGTGCTGCTCCAGCGGGTTAGTATACTCCTCCTACGGGTTCAGAGTGGGAGGAGTAGTGTGGGTGTAACAGTAATGGAAATAAAACGTGCACGCACATGGACCATGAGATACATCACCGTCACAGCATGCAACGAAATAAGAACATGAAACAGCATCAAATAAAAATCAGCAGTCACACATCACCTAATGCACCCCACGTAAAGTACGTTTATAAACCATCACCCACGGCAGGATTTATCAACCCACAGAGTAGCAGGTTGATGCTTAGAACTACCATTAAACATGCAAATCACTGAGGCTTACTGGCTGCTCTCATGTGTGTACTGTAAACATGTTAGTCTCTTCTGATTCCTCCCTGCTTCTCTTCTTTTATAAGAAAAAAGAAAAACATCGAAAACTGATGCTGAGAGATCCATATATCTAAAAGCTGAGGTGCTACTTTATGCGTATTTTCTAAATGAGGTGAAAACTGGCATTTAGACGGTAATTACTGTAATGCCACAGTGCGAGCTAAACACAGGATGCATTTCTGCTGTTTTTTCAGTATAATTGACTCACTTCGCCCTCCAGTGGTCAACAACAGCAACTGGAATGAACATTAAAAGCCCTTTGCATACCGTTTCCTGTTACGGTAAAAACAAAACTGGTGCACTGCACAGTAAATTAAGGAAAATACTTTATCTTGAGATTAAATATAATTGAGTGTACACTTGAATTTTTTAGAACTTTAAAGCTGAATGAGGACTGAGGATTTTAGCACCTTTGCATTTGGGACACTTTAAGTATAAACCAGGTGTTGCAAATCTGCAGCTGCACAGCCTTAGTAACAATTAAAATCACTAAAACTAAAAATAACTAAAAAAGTAATATTAAAAATGTAAGGTGTCATGTTTTGCTGTTGAAAAATCCTTTAAAAAATGTAAACAGATATCGTCAATTTGTGTAAATGGAGGGTTTGTACTGACAGAGGACAGCAACAAGTAATAATTATTTTTTAGTGTTATCTAAATTCTTTGGCTTAGTTAAAACATTTTAATTGAGAGTTGTAACTCAGGAAGTAAAGCAAGTTGTTTAACTAATTGGAAGGCCGGTGGTGTGATCCCCAGCTCCTCTAGTATGCATCTCAAAGTACCCTTTGCCAACGTACTGAACCCCAAATTGCCCAATTGAGTGTGTGACTGTTAGGTTAAAATCATGAATGCGTTTGTGAGACTGCATGAATGAGGCCTGTAGTTAGAAAGCGTTTTAGTAGAAAACGTCTACATACTGTAAGTACTACTACATTTATTATAGGACATTATTTCAAGAAATGTTGTGTTTTCTATGTTACAATACAATTTCTGGCATAAACTGCAAATCAAAGTTTACAAGGAGAACGATAATTTAGAAAAGCACACAACTGCATGTAAGGTGTATTAAACAAGGTTAAACTCTGAAGCATGCTGGAGTTAGGAGAGAGAGGACGGATGGCGGTGACAGGTGGGACAGAAACACTTCCATCTTCGGTATTTGTACATTTATCTGAACAACATAAATACTCGAGATTCAATTTGTTTTTGTTCGAATCTCCTTGAATCAACTTAAAAACTGAAAATAGAAATAGAAATGCAATGTAATGCGATGTGATATATTACACATGAATAACATTGAGAACAGTCCTTAAATGGAAAGAAGCTGCTTTCTTAAAACTCATTGTTTTCTGTTTTCCGACTTCTTTTTCTAAAAGACGCAAACAACCATCAGTCACTTGCAGATGGGTGGCCAGTTAACCTCACTGAGCTGCTCTGGAAAAACTGCAGCAAAACAAATGTACAAACCTCAAAGGAAAGTATCTGGAGTGAGACTGTCATTGCAGCGATGGCTGAATCCACAGCATGACAGCTGGCAGACAGACGTCTGTTCGTGAAATTAGCTTTAATTGGCCTACTGGTGCGCACATTAGAAACCACGGTGAGCCACTGTCTGCAGCTCTCCATGACACCACAAATGTTATGAATCAATGTCTATTATGTATAAGTGGATTTCTTTAGGATGAAATATGAAGATTTAATATTAGTATATCAGTTAGGTCTGTTAGGTCGGTCCTTGTGTCTGTGCTGTTAGTGCAGTGCACCGACCTGCCGTCTGTCCTCTGGTGCCTTCAGGAAGAGAGCATTGATGAGAGCGATGGCGTACGTCTGGATCTCCTGGTTTGACCTGAAGGAATATCCAGCAGCGCAACAACCAGTTAGAAGCAGCATGCTCTGCAAATCTCCGCACAGGAACAAAACTACAGGCTAACTGCATAAAAAAATAGTCTAATTACCATTAAAACAAACACCTGGGATGGGTACAGGATAGAAGCGTCTTCTTTGCACCAGTCTTTAGTTTTGCTACGTGACATTTTTCTAAACTTTGGCTTTACTCCAATAAAAAGACCAAAACCAACTTTGAGTTTATCGAAACAGAAAATGCTTTTTGATCTTATACCTAATATTATTAGTGAGGCATATATGATGTGGATATGTACATAGGAGGGATAATGGATATACTGGACAAAGTATGATGACTATGGAGCTGCCAGGCAGGAGGAAAAGAGAAAGAGCACAGAGAAGATTCATGAAAGAAGTGAAGGAGGACATGCAGAGGGTTGGTGTGAGAGAGGAGGATGAGACAGGGGTGACATGGAGGCAGATGATGCGCCCCCTAAAGGCAGTATCCAAAAGAAGAAGATTCATTTTCATTATTTCATAGGGCTCCACTGTTGTTCATAATACAAAATGTATCATCGTTATAACTAGCACAGAGATTTGATTTGATTTTGCGAGTGACTCATATGCAGTCGTGCTGCTGTGAAAACTCACCAGAGCAGGCATGTCAAACTCATTTTACATCGTGGGCCACATACAGCCCACTTTGATCCTAAATGGGCCAGAACAGTGAAATTCCCCATCCTGTCAGTGTAAATACGTTTATCTACACATTTAATCCCTGAGATATATGCAAGAAACAGAATTAAGCCCAAGTATTTGGGGTTAAATTGTGAGAACAGTAATAATGGCCATGGAGCAGGTTTTTATCAGTAAGAAAAGCTGTAAAACATATGAAAATGTATGCTCTCTTTGCCTTGTTCTTAAGTGAAAGGCCCCATCCAGTGGGCTGAGAGTCTGCATCGGGACAATTCTGGGCCTTATGTTTGACACTTGTACACTTGAGCAAACAGAGCAGATTAACTACTTAAGGTCACCACTAACATTCACACCAGGCATTCCTTCATCTGATTATAACGAAACTGGCAGCCTGATACATGTAGTAAAAGTAGTTTCCATCAACACTATGCGTCAGGTTCTTGGTTAGGAGTTCTTTGAGTTTTGGTTAGTTTGGTTGGTTCATGGTGTTTTCAGCATTACTTACTGCGTGATTCTTCAGCTGTTTTCCATCCTCTATGTTCCCTGATTAGTCACCCTGCCCACCCTGTGTATTCAGGTTGTATGCTTTCTCCATGTCCTGTGTTCGACCCCCTTTTTGGGGGTTTTGTGTCCTCCTAACTTGTTGGTTTTGGTCTTTTCATGGGAGTTTTCAGCAACAACAAAAATCTTATAACAGCAATGCTGTTTGATTGGAATCATCTGTGCACCCATACCCATCCACATAAACAGAAACAAAACTCACAGCAACCTTTTCTATCCAGTCACCCCACACTTCTATACCCTCCACTTTCCCCCATTTCAGAGCGCAGGAAGCCCCTGTGCGTGTGTGTGTGCTCACACTTGCAAGTGCCCGATGAGCTGTCCCACGGTGATCTCCTGTGCCACCCGATGGTAGAGGCTATGGCTGTTCAGAACCATGCTCTCGAGGATGGCCAAGGAGCGCTGCAGGATGGACACGTCCACCATCGGCTGGTTGACGTAGCCCGCAATCTAAGTGAGCACAGAGAAAACCGGTTAACACAGAGAAACAAATTTTGTTTCTTTGTTTCATTTCTTGGTTTATTTGGTTCATTTCGACAAAAATTGAGTAGAATATTTTTATCCAGTACAAAGAAAACAAAATCAAGAGTTCTGCAAAATTCTCCCAAGTGGCTGCCAAGGCTAGGATGAAGTTTTCCAGAGAAAACTATTTACATAAACACAGAATGAGCTCCAAATTATGTGAGTAGTTGCTCAGCAACAGTACCCACACATTTCCGGCATTTGTGTAGAAAAAGAGGTCAAAGAAAAAGTGCAATTAAAGAAAAGTGGAAAGATAAAAAGGCATAAAAATGACCGACCTTGAAGTTTAGTTTCGTTTTCTTAAAGTGGAAAGTTGTACAGTGGTGTTTCACTGAAATGAAAAATGTGTCCTATGAATTGTTCTTTTGTTAGAAGAAGTACCTGCTTGATGAAGGACAATGAGATAAGGTCCCAGGACACAATGCCATGATCCATTAGTTCCAGGAAGGCAGTGAGAGTGAAGGCCAACATTTCACCAAAGCTGAAGAGAGTGAAGTACAGTCAGGGCAGGCCTTTCAGGTCACACGTTAACATTTAGATTAACTTTACAGAAATCCTGATACGAGGGCAGATTTTAAAAAGCCAAAACTTATCTTTTTGACTAAGTGGCTTTATTTGACCTCCACAAGTAATTCAACTGTAATATATAAATAAAATCACTAAATGAATGTGAACTGAGCTTAAAAGTGCAAGTAGTGGATTTAGAGGGAAGCAGCAAAAGTAAAGGAAACTGATGTTCTTTAAAAATTGCTAATAGCCTTAGCAGTTTACAGCACTGCCATTAAGCAATGCCAAGCTTTGCAAATTCAACAAAGATGATACAACACACAGTCATCGATCAGCTCTGTCAGCTGTAAAAAACAAAACAAAAACGTTACCCCTCAGCCTGCTAGAACAGTGGTCCCCAACCTTTTGTTGCGCCAGGGACCAGACTGGCCTTTAAGGTGTCACGGATAAATAAAATATGTATTCATAACACATGGGAAAAGACCCAGGGAAACCAAGTTAACGATAAAACTATAAAAAATAATGCTAAAAACTGATTTAAAAAAACCCTAAAAACCATAAATTTCACACCTGAGCCTCAACTTTCGCGGCCCGGTACCAGTCCGTGGCCCGGGGGTTGGGGATTGCTGTCCTAGAAGATGCACCTATGGTATTAATTTCAAAATCTTACATCGCCTCCTTCACAAATATCAAGTAGTATAAGCTTTTCAGAAAACTTGACCTCTGACCTTGAGAACAAGGTCACCAATGGTATCAGTTTGACTGGCTGAGGGGTAAAAAAACTCACTGAGTGCCGCTCTCCACAAGACGAGCCAGCGTCCCAATGCCTTCCATGTTGATGAACTCTGCAGCAAAGGTTGGATCTGCAGAGAGCTTGGCGAGCTCCTTCAGAGCCTCGAGGCGAGCATCGATGCCATGGGACTGGATCCTCTCCAGGAGCTGGCGAGCAGCACGAGCCTGTCAGAGACAAACACGATCAATCAGTGTCATGATACCTTCATCACTTTGTCCAGGTCACTGAATTTACTGTAAACATATATGGAGAAACTTATAGCCCATGTGGAATAATACATTTCAATAATTTTCTATTAGCTACAATAGCAAATGTTAATGTGATCTTTTATGAGACCAGTGTTTTATAAAGTGCAAGATATATACACTAACCTTTTTTAGGTACACCTTGCTTTTATTATATAATTAAAGATCAGCAGTTTCTGAAATACTCAAAACATGCCTGTCGAGCACCAACAACCACGCCTCATCCAAAGTCACTTAAATCATTTTTCTTCCCCATGCTGATGCTTCATTTGAACTTCAGCAGGTCATCTTCACCATGTCCACATGCATGAATGCACAGAGTTGCTGCCACATGATTGGCTGATTTAATGGCTATTATTGTTAACAGTGAGTGCACCTTATAAGACATGCAAAACATAAGCATTTAATATATTTTTGTATTTATTTTGTCACACAAGAGAGCGCTTCTCCAGCAAATGTATAGCTATGGCACTTTCAAATCAATGCCACATTTTTCACTCACAGGAGAAATTGCTAATCGAAGAATGGTCCCGTTCTTGATGTCGCCACGACTCTGAAAGGATTACAACAGAGTTCAGTATTGATTCATAAAGTCCTCATCTCAAGGTTAGAAAGAAAACAATGAAGCTCACCTGCTCAGTGATATAAAGCTGAGGACCATCAGCATAACGCAGGGCAAACTGCTCTGAGCCAGACAAAGACCAGCTGGAGACAAAAGCAGAGAGAAAATGTTTGCTAAAGAATTAATATTCAATATCAGTTTTGCATACTAGGAAAATAAAGAAAAAAATTAGTAGAACACACTGTAGAAATGTAAGCATACTCTGGTATGCATGAACAAAAGGTTGCTCGAAGTCAGATTGTTGCCTTCAGCAGTTGTATTTACACGAGCAGCAAACACGAGAGGCTGTGGAGGAGAATCACTCAGTGGGTGTTTACAGTAAAGTGCAAAGAATTTTCTGTTTCAGATGGTAAAAGGAGGCAGTGGGTAGATGGAGCCAGGCTAAGAGCTGGATGGGTGGGATAAAATCTGTAATAGCCATCACTTAGGTGCAAAAAAGTCCAAACAGGGTTATGTGTGGTGTTACAGCAGTAAATGTGGTCATCATAAGCATTTTCTCATGTCAGTTTAGCTTTTCCACATAGACCTTAACGACGCAGATCTAAGAGAATAACATGTATCATCTTTTTTCTGGGCTTTCACTGCTTCTTAACTAATGTGCTCCTTAGATCTACCATTTGATTGAGCTATCTGTAATAAAGCTTTCAGTATTATAATTAGATTCTACTAATCACTAAAGCAGGGCTCTAGACTAACTTTTTG